GTTCAGCTGTAAGTTTTAAGCTATCAGAATCTATATAGAGTATAATCCCTTTATATGTTAAGCTATATGTACAATAAGGTATCTGATCCTACTTTACTGTACGATCCTATACAGTGCGATGTTAATGTATAAGTACTATGGTTTCTGAATCCACTGTCCGATCTCCCCATATTATGATGAGTCAGTTATGAATGATATATATAAACTGTCTTTCCTGAGCTGACTCCTCCTCCTCCTCCTCCTTCGGTCTTGAGTGCGAGAGCCAGTCCACTGAGCCCCTGAGAGCTCTTAAGTTAGTCGAAGAGAGCTGCTGTGTGTGAAGGGTTGGGTTGGGTTAGGTTAGGTTAGCTTAGCTTAGGTTAGGTCGTTTAATTATCAGGAGAATTAAGCTAGGGTGCCTAATCTTTACACGATCCCAATATTTAAATAATACAACAGAGAGATATTGAAAACATATAAGACGAAATCAGGTTGTAGAAACGTTCAGACTGACAGAGGGACACCTGAGGGTTAATATGTACATGCTTCTTTCCCCTTTCATAACGGGGAATAACAAACAATTAGTCGGATAATTACTCATTACCCGATTAATCACGGTTGTTGCTCATGAACGAGGCCTTTGATGGCGAGAGAGGCTTTGTGTGCTACCTGGCCCAAAATAACCTCCCTTCTACCGTTAATTTGAAGGGATTTCTACCATATGAGAGAGAGAGAGAGAGAGAGAGAGAGAGAGAGGGGGGGGATACCTACATATTTTTTTATGCATTCTTTGTAATGTTTGAGAGATATTAGAAGAAGGAAGTTAAGCAAGCACAACCTAATGTGAAATCTAATCAAGAAACATCACGATATATCAAACCCAACAAGACAGGATTCGCGGAATATATCGAGAACATTATCCAGGTCACGAGTTAGGCGAGACAACGGGACTGAAAATATGCCAGAACAACAACCAGTATTTGTGCCCAGTGAAGAAGGAAGCCATGTTGTTCCAGGTATTTGACTATTGGTTTGTTCATGACAGATTCCAAGACTTAGGGGATGACTGAGGAGAGGTATACAGTCGCCTCCACTCATACCTGGTACAGTTCCTGGCGTGATTTGTGAGATGTGGCACCACTGTGTTTGTTTGCATCATAATTATAACTCCTAGAATGGCCCTAAGGAACCTCGCAATAGTAGCCAGACTAAGGATGCTAGATAAGCTTTCCACACAGTTGTCACATCTCACAATCGTACCAGCCACTGTACCAGGTATAAGTGTAGGCGACTGTACGTGTCAATTGTTAGAGATAGGGTGGATCCCTTCTTTTGGGTTTGGCTGTTGGGTTGTTGGTTGCTGGGTTGGTTGGGTTGGGTTGGGGTTGCTGGGTTGCTGGGTTGGTTAGGTTGGGTTGCTTGGGTTGCTGGGTTGGGTTGGGTTGGGTTGGGTTGGGTTGGGGTTGCTGGGTTGGTTGGGTTGGGGTTGGGTTGGGTTGAAGGTTGGGTTGGTTGGGTTGGGTTGGGCTGGGTTGGGTTGGGTTTGGGTTGGGTTATAGATGGGTTCAAAAAGTTAGTGCACAGTGACATAGATCGCCCGAAGATTATCCCTCCCAGCTTATACTATAAGATTAACCAACTAACACTACCGGGGTTAATTTAGTTATGGTGAATTAGGTAAAGTTAAAACTAGTGTTAGAGTGGTTAATCATTAGGGTGAAATAAACTAAGAAGAGAGAGAGAGAGAGAGAGAGAGAGAGAGAGAGAGAGAGAGAGAGAGAGACCCCCCTTGCGTGAGTGTGAGATATTAGCCACCAGTATTACACCATTGATATAGGAACATTTCTCCGCTACACGTGTTAAAAGTATACCTTCATTAACACTGCCCTGTTAATGCACTACTGACACACCTCTCTGGCTGTCTGTACTAGTGTTTACTTTTTTTTACTACTACTACTACATTTTATTACGACTATACTACTGCTACTTATACACTAATACGATATTGCTACTATTATTACTACTATTACTTCTATTATTACTATTACTGCTACTACTATTTCTTCTACTACTAATAATAATAACACTGCTACTACTATTACTATTATACTACTGCTATGACTGGTAGGCTACTACTACTATTACTACTACTTTTTTTTTAAACGTGGCCTCCAGCCTCCCCCAATACTTCGCCACCATTTAATTACCTTAATATTAAATATCCTAATACATAAGTAGCTATCCTATCTGTGTTAAATTAGTTGAGCCGCAGATCTATGCGGCATTCAGTGACTGTAGCCTCATAGTCAATATCTGCAGCAGTTGTCGGAGTTGGGGCAGAAGCTCTCGTTCCCCTGAGGCAGAGGAAAGCCGACCGAAGGAGAGAGAAAGACAGTCGACATCTCATCCAGGCTGTAACATAACTTCTGGGCTGCTGCTTCTGTTCGGAGATCAACTCCGCGAGTCTGGCGTAGAAACATCTACTACTACTACTACGTTTTGTTGATGTGAATGTATCTATGAGTGGGTGTGAAGATGTACATGTGTGTACGTGATAGTGTACCTATGTGTGCGTGATGGTGTATATGTGTGTGTGTGTGTGTGTGCGTGACTGGTGGAGTGACTCAGAATTGTGTAATTGTCGCTGACTCACCAGATACCAAAGCATGACTCACAAAATACCAGAGCGTGACTCACCAGATACTAGAGCGTGACTCACCAGATACTAGAGCGTGACTCACCAGATACCAGAGCGTGACTCACCAGATACTAGAGCATGACTCACCAGATACTAGAGCGTGACTCACCAGATACTAGAGCGTGAGTCACCAGATACCAGAGCGTGACTCACCAGATACCAGAGCGTGACTCACCAGATACCAGAGCGTGACTCGCCAGATACCAGAGCGTGACTCGCCAGATACCAGAGCGTGACTCACTAGCTACCAGAGCGTGAGTCACCAGGATAGTCCATCACCATAAGAGTCACTTGGCTGATCTTTCTAGAACATCGTGACTCGCCATGACTAAACCTATTACCGTAAGAAAGCAACTGACTCAAGTGAGCGTGAAGGGTGAAAGGGACAGTGTGAGGGAGGTAGCGTCAAGGGTGAGAGGCAGCATCAAGGGTGAGAGGCAGCATCAAGGGTGAAAGAGGCAGCATCAAGGGTGAAAGAGGCAGCATCAAGAAGTAAGAAAGACAGCACATCAAGGAGTGAAGGCGGCATCAAGGGTGAAAAGGCGGCATCAAGGGTGAGAGAGAGCATCAAGGTGAGGAAGAGCTGACATCAAGGGGTGAAGGGCAGCATCAAAGGGTGAGAGAGGCAGCATCAGAGTGAGAAGTGGCATCCAAGGAGTAAGAGGAGCATCAGGTGAGAGAGGCAGCATCAAGAGTGAGAGAGGGCAGCGGCATCAAGGGTAAGAGAGCGGCATCAGGTGACGGAGGCGGCATCAGGGGTGACAGAGGCGGCATCAAGAGTGAAGGCAGCATCAAGGAGTAAAGAGAGGCAGCATCAAGGGTGACAGAGGCAGCATCCAAGTGGGGGCAGCATCAAGGTGGAGAGGCGGCATCAAGATTAAGGAGAGGCAGCATCAAGGGTGTGAGAGGCAGCATTAAGGGTAACAGAGGCAGCATCAAGAGTGACAGAGGCAGCATCAAGAGTGAGAGGGGCAGCATCAAAGAGCGAGAGAGGCAGCAACAAGATCGAGAGAGGCAGCATCAAGGAGTGAGAGAGGCAGCATCAAGAGTGAGAGAGGCAGCATCAAGGGTGAGAGAGGCAGCATTTTATCGTACACAATTACTTCACGGACTCAATACAGTTTGTCTTCCTCGGTATATTCGTAGTTGTTGTTATAAAGCGGAGAATATAAGTCCCGCGGGGGTAAACAATCGTTAATTAGACAAAGGTAAGCAACCATCTATGCACAAGGTGTGATTTTAACAGGAACGAACTAACGAGCGATATATCACGTTTAAGCAATGTTCAGTGGTTCGTTCCTGATAAGAGTAAACAAATTTCAAATAGATCTTTCGTCTACTAACCTAACCTAACCGAAGTCTTCTTGGTTAACTAAGGAAAGTTCTGATGACTGTCTTCTCCCAATGGCAATACAACTGATAACGTGACCTATATATAACCTAGGATAAGAAAGGTCAATGATGCAGTTGTGGGATAAGAGGTGAAGGAACTGTGTGTTTAAAGTGTTTGGAGAGAGAGAGAGAGAGAGAGAGAGAGAGAGAGAGAGAGAGAGGCCAGGTGAGATACGGAGTGAGCGGCGGTACAGTCATGGGTGAGTGGTGTTGTCATGGGTGAAGGAACTAAACTAATGTCATGGGTGAGTGAGCCAGTGTCATGGGGTGAAGGATTCAATCGTGAGGTGAGGCAATATAGTGTGCGTCCAGGGACTTAAAACACCTGCAATTAACCTCTTCATACTTGAGTAAACATCTATCTCGTCTCTATGTCCATCTATCACGTCTCAGTCACATGGTTATGACATTCAACCACAATAAATGAACAAAATGGCACTATATTATCCCATTCCTGATATACCAGGTAGATAAATAATTAGGTCGGCAGGTATATAGTTGGCCTTGGGGTTAATGTTCCCGGTATAACATCCTTTATCATTTATATACATATTATATTATTATCATTTAATTATTTAATCTAATATTAAAATCTTGACTATGTTTTAGTTTTGGTGGATGGCTGCAGGTGTGTGTGTGTGTGTGTGTGTGTGTGTGTGTGTGTGTGTGTGTGTGTGTGTGTGTGAGGTCTAGTGTTGTGACGCCACGCACGCAGTACACACCCGCCGTGGCTTATTATAATTTTACAAGCAAAATATCTGATCTACTCAAGATAATAAACTCTATTTAGTTTGTAACTTTGTACACTACTAAATCAGTCTGTTTGGTTGGCAGTGTTTGTTAACTCAAAGTCGAATGTAAACAATGGATTGCCCGTGTGTTTAATAAAAGTGGTGTGACATATAGTATAGTAAAGGAAGAGTTGTCTTACCTTCGGACACCCCAGGCGATGACAACATGGTTATGTCCCCTCCTCTACATAGTGCCAACGAGTCCTCATCCACGGCATCTGAGGCCACACACGTGTCACTCGAGGTCAACAACACGGCCAGAGGACCATCCGCTGGCGCTCTTGCCCTTAATCAACACCCTCGACCACCGATTCCTTTTGTAAACAGCACTGAAGCTCGCCTGGCCTTCATTGAAATGCAAGCCAACTCGGAGGCGGAGAGGCGCATGGGACCCCAACTTAAAGCACTCTCTTGTCCATGTTTTGGGCCCTACAGCAGTGGTTATCATTCATGCAAGCAGCGACCTCTTTTCTTAGATGATCACAACAACACCAGCACTCTTCCATCCAAATCGCATCCCCCCTGCATCTGTGTCGACTCGTACTGGAAAGGTAATTATCGATCGCGTACAGCTCAGGAACGGGGCCACTCCCGCCTGCCACAGTCCAACTCACACTTGCAGCCAGCCAGGCACCTGAGTCTCCCCGCCCCGACCTCCCCGGCCACCACAGATGCCAACACACATTTATTCATCATATTTTCAAAGCTCCCTCATGCTAACTATGTGACATTTCTTTACACACATCTCGTATTTGGATATGAAGTATAGATTATACGTTAATTAAATGTATTTCATATAATATTTTCAGTAAGAAAAATAACGATTTATAATTTTACCTTCTAACACTTTAGACCATCATCCCTGGTAGGCCCTTCGCTGCGTGGTTTACTAACTGTTCACGTGTACATTATTTCCTTCTTATTAAAACACTTGTTGGAAAATGTTGAGAGAAACTATGAAGAGCGTCTAAGGCGGCCATATATCCATCTGAGAGGAAAACACCAGACAATACAGGTAGTTCAGCGACGATTGCTTACAAGACTTCCAGCGTTGCCACATGTTCGACATATTTTGCTTGGCAATACTATTTGCAACGTCAAGATTCCTGCTACACAGTAATTCAATGCAGCCACGGTGACAAAAACACCTACTTCACTTGCTGGACATAAACAAAAAATTCTAGTAAAGAGGGAAAAAATCTTGAATGAAGTGTATAAATTATGTGAGAAATACTCATCAAGGAAGATGGATGGGATTATCATTCTTATTTTTAGCAACAGCGACAAGATTACTTTCTCGATAACCACTCCACACATACTTGACAAGAGAGAGAACCAAAATAAATGTATCAATATTAATAAGGAAACCAATGGTGACGCTTGTTTAAAATGCTGCCCCGCCATTTACAACGCATAATAACCGACCACCAAAAATCCTTGTTGACACTCGCTACGTCACGACCACAACACTACACCCAGTCCAATGAAATACCATAGACTCGGTATTTGGTATATAAGAAATCATACTTTTTCAACTTGATTCATATCTTCCAAGAGTATATTCCTTTCTTATTGTCTAATTCATTTTAATATATCACTAATTAAATAGAAGATAAACATAATAGCACTGAAAATAGAAATATCCTCAAATTATTACTATTTAATAACACGATACTTGAAAAAATGTATAAACCCGAATGTCGAAATTTCTTTATGAGTCAAGGTGTAGGAATGGCGCCCGAGTTTACACATCAATTGTTTCAAGGTTAGGCTATAGTGCCACTGTGCATATATGGTGCCAGTGTTTAGAGGAATGGTGCCAAGGGGATGGAGCCATCAAATGCAAGACGCAGTACAGCTGGTAGAGTTTACGTGTGAATTTATAATGTCAAGGTGTGTGTGTGTGTGTGCGTGTGTGTAAATAATGACGTCACCGTGTATGTTTGGTGTCCCTGTGTATAATAAGGTTGTTGGTGTGTATAACTATTGCCACGCTTGTATGTAATGTTAATGGAAGGTGCCAATATTTCATGTGGGTGAGTGCCAGAATAAATACTGCATGAGTCCAGAGTGTGTATGGCTGGTTGAGTGTATGATTGATGCCAATGTATGAATAGTGAAAGTGTATGAACGGTGTCCGTTTATGAGAAGGGAGTGTACGAACGTGTGTGTATTAATAGTCAATGGGGTCGAATGGTGACTGTGAGAATAGTACTAGTGTATGGATAGTGACACACACACACACACACGGTTTTGTTTACACCAGAGACCTTGTTATCACCATTACCTTTTATCATGTCGACTATATTGTTGTTCTCCGGGAATTAATACTTGATGGGAAGTCGTCTACCAGAACTAACCTTCCTCTACACCGTCACAGGGTCAGGACACGAGACTAGAAATCCTCCCCCGTCTTCATTAATTGAGTACTGTATTATGATCCTGCTGCCCCTAACGTCGCCACAGTTGTTCCTAACTTTAGTACCAACACTCAGCAAGTCCTACAGCAACTTGGAGAGGAGGGGAGATTAGTTAACGTGATGCCAGACGCTCCTCAGCAACACCGTGAAGCAGACCCACCCGTGCTAGCTCTCAACGATGCTGCCTACTGTTGTTCCCAAGATGAATTCAGTAAAAGTGATTATGAACTGAACGCTTGACAGCAGTGATCATGGTTAACACAAGACGAGCAAGGGAGACTGTCGAGGGATTACGTACATTAGTGACATCACACATATGGTATACCAGATAAGGTGTTCGACCATGCAGCTCCTGTGTAGCACCCAGAGCTAACGTGAGGACGGGGTAGAATGTCACTGGGCCAACGACGTACAGATTGTTCTTAAATTCTTACACATAGTCGTAGATATTATTATTACTATTATTATTAGTTTTATTGTTGCTGTTGTTATTATTATTATTATTATTGTTGTAGTTTTTGTTATTATTATTATTATTATTATTATTCAGATTCACCAGACGATCTACAGAAGCAGTGAAAATGAGGGATATTTTTATTTTAGTGGAGAGTGAAACACAAAGTGACTCGCCTCCACCCCACGCATCTCCCGGCACACCTGATGGCCTGACCCTCAAATTTTAGGAGTCTGTCCTTGATCTGAAGAATTACTTTTCAAGGCCAATGATAAAATGTCAAAGGTGGAAAGGAGGAGGAGGAGGAGGAGGAAGTGCAGGTGGAGATGGTTGGAGAGGAGGAGGTGGGATTAGAGGTGGAGGAAGTGGAGGAGGGGGGGAAGAGACATGGATGCTGGAGAAGTGAGGTACTACAGACGGAGAAGGAGACCACCCACACTCTTTCCCTTCCTCCACCCACCCACCCACCACCTACACTCTCCCTTCCACCCACCACCCGTCCCACCCTGTCTCTCCACACCTTTTGTACAGTGCCTGGGTCAATACCTTCGGCTACTGGTGGCCCCATTACACCTAGCCTACCTCACTATGCAGCCAGGTGTGTTGTATAACCAGCCAAGTGTGTTGTATAACCAGCCAGGTGTGTTATTTCAGGTGTGTTGTACAAGCAGCTGGGTGAATAATAATAATAATAATAATAATAATAATAATAATAATAATAATAATAATAATAATAATAATAATAGTAATGATGATAATAATAATAATAATAATAATAATAATAATACAATATTTATTTTAAGTCGAAGTCCTATTTAAGGATCACTCTAACTCCTTATTTATATATCAAAATCATTTAAGTGGTTTTAGGGTAAGATTGGAACCCCTACCGTATTTATAAACTCCTTCATCCTACTCTTAAATCACTCTTAATGGTTTATAGACGTTAAGAAAAACCTTTAAGAGTCAATAAATATATGTCTTGGGTTTTAGTGGTTTGAGTTTTAAATTTAAGTAGCGACTAATTTTTAAGTGTATCCCCTAAACCCTTAAAATACACTAAAAATAAGAAACAGACCAAGAGACAAGGCTACCAAGTTAATGTTTTCTGATCATTGAGTTCTATTTGAGAGACTTCTAGATTAAGTCAAGAGGCACTAAATACACTGGCTTCTTTAACTCCCTCTGATGATCATCGTGACCTGATCTGTTAATATGGGACAAAACTGTTACACCCTCCTCACCATCTGCCACTTGAGGTCCCTCGTCCATGAAGTGTTTGTTCGACACCACAACCACCTCAAACACTCATGACCTCTCACAGAACTCTACAAAAACAGCAGCGCCATTATAACCACTCCAAAAATCATCAATAAATCGTAGATAACTTGTAGGTACACTCTATATTTCTGAAAGGTTTTGTTATATGACCCCACTCCCGTCACTGTGTTATATATTTTCAGCTTGTATTTGTTGTATTGTCAATAAATCAATCGTTACTATTTTTCACGACACAAACACATGCTTCAAGTCAACAGTATCTCCAACACCTCTGAACCCCTGACGTGGCCCCGTACACTACCAGCGTTGACCTATACACGAGCTCACCGACCACCTGTGAAGTATTTCTAAGTGATTAACAGTATATGGAAGTTGTACTATTGTTCCCACCTGTCAACCCTTCACCTCCCTCACCCTTTCCTATCGCTCACCTGGGTTTATCTCTCAGCTCTCCCCATCTTTCATCCTCTCTCACTTTGCAAGGATCAGGGGATAAAATCTTGGCCATATTGCAGGTTTCTCCAGTGCAACAATAAACAGTCGGCCACTTCCATCAGCCAACCTCTGCCAGGGCGTTGGCTCGTTGCTCACTTATTCCTTGAATCTATATCATAACTTCCTTCCTGTCTCTCTCTCTCTCTCTCCCTGGGTAGTAAATGACCTACGTTTCCAGGAAGTCAGACCCTCCCTTCATCTCGAGGTTTTCCATGAAACTATGCATTTACATTGAAATTTTTGTTTATATCTCATAACATCAGTTCAAGGTGTCGGCGACCATAGCGTTCCACTCCAAACATTCTCGGGCTGTTTTTACTAATCCTAGACAGAAAGTGTGAAAATTATTGTACTATAGCGTGTCATATGTATAACTGTTTACCTTAATTGTTTTAACCTTAAACTAATAAAGATACGGTACATTAGTGACGGGTCGTGACAGAGAGACAGAAAGAGTTTAGTGTGGTCAGGTAGTCCCCGTTGGCGCGTCTCCAGACAAAGTAAATATTCGGTTTGTAATGTTAATCAGAACACAAAGCCAATCAAAACCAAAGCCAATCAAAACACAAAGCCAATCAGAACACAAAGTCAATCAGAACACAAAGTCAATCAGAACACAATCAACCATAACACCTGTCTAGTCTAGTTTACACAATCATCTGAAATTATGTCACGGGCGATGGGGTTGTTGCCTAGCGCGTATCAGTAGAGTGTTCATCCAGTGCTCTTGATGACCCTCTTGAAAATTTTAACAGCAATACATATACATACCACGAACACAATTGAAACTGGGTTAGGTTAGGTTATGTTAGGTTAGGTTGGGTTGGCATCCGAGAGAACAGATACAAACCAACGTAAATAATAACAATTGACGTAAACTTTGACGTTGTTACACACACACACACACACACACACACACACACACACACACACACTGGAAATGCCATCCCTCAGTGACCTC